AAAGAAAGAAAGAAAGAAAGAAAGAAAGAAAGAAAGAAAGAAAGAAAGAAAGAAAGAAAGAAAGAAAGAAAGAAAGAAGCGCTGTTTAAGCACTGGTAGAAATACAGTCCTGGTAGAAATAATCCATTTCAGAAATGCTCACAGGATTCTTAATTGCAGGTTTAGCCGAAGTCCGTTCTGGGCCTGGGCAGCAAAAAATTAGCTACCGGTTCTGCTGAAACTGGTGCGAACTGGCTGAATCCCACCACTGGTGGTAATGTAGCCATTAGGAGCAGAACTTGGCTTAACAGAACCTTGTTGGTGAGAAACACAATCTTACTTGGGTATTTTAAAGACAAAGCTCTCCTACGATGAACAAAACTGGGTTTCTTTCATTTCAGCCACGATGTTTCTTGAAAACTGGAAGCGTTTGCAGATGCGGTTGTCTTACTTCTGGGACCTTACCGGCTTGGAGGAAGAAGAAGTAAGTGCACTGGAAAGTGTTCAAACCTGTCGGGGTTTTATCAATTCAATTCTTCAAATTGATCCGATGATTTCATTCCCCAAACCAAATATAAGTAATTCAGCTCTTGGAACTGAACTGCAAAGGCAAATACAATTATACCCTTAGCTTGCAAATTCAAATCCGATTTTGGCTGATCCCTATATCCTAGACCTTGAATTGACAAGCTATTCAATTAGAATGACCAACAATATTGAACACTTGAACGACATAAAACTCGCATACGCTTAAAAAAACAAAAACAAAACTCAAAGACTGTGTACTTAGAAGCTAGAATGATTTATCTAAAGTGAAAACCAGAAAATCATAACAACAATGGAAGACCAACAAAGATGATTAGGGGACTGGAGGATAAAACATATGAAGAACGGTTGCAGGAATTTGATATGTCTAGTCTAACAAAGTGAAGGACCAGGAGTGTCGTGATAGCAGTCTTCCAACATTTGAGGGGCTCCTACAAAGAAGAGGGAGTCAAGCTATTCTCCAAAGCGCCTGAAGGCAGGACAAGAAGCAATGGATGGAAACTAACCAAGGAGAGAAGCAACCTAGAACTAAGGAGAAACTTCCTGACAGTGAGAACAATTAATCAATGAAACAACCTCAGTGGAACAAGTTGCCTCCAGAAGCCGTGGGCGCTCCATCACTGGAGATTTTCAAGAGGAGACTGGAGAAGCATTTGTCCAGAATGGCATAGGGTCTCCTGCTGGAGTTAGAGGGTTGGATTCTTCCAACTCTGTTAATCTGTCATCCCTGGTAGATTATTTGCAGGATAATAACTATATATTTCAGTGATTGTGCTTCAGGTTTTTCCAGAATCCATTATATGTATTGTTGAAAGAAAAATCAGGTTTTTCCAGTTCCAAGCCAGGAGTAAAACACTATAAATAAAATGGAGGCTAAGATGCTGGAAATAAAATGGAGGCCGCTTAGGGAAGAAGGTTTATTGATGAGTAGAACCAGCAACAGCATGCAGTTCTGGGACACAGGACCAAATGGAGCTGAGAGTGGCTGGGCTTTTATACCTTCTGATTGAGATGTGCAATGTAGCGAACCTTGCGTCAATGGTGGTGGGTTAATCGGGTTATGTCCTACAGGTCATATCCTGTCCTTAGCATTTGGGTGGGGGGATGTAAATTCTTAATCCCATCAGCTATGGGGGCTGAAGGTGTTTTGTTTATGAATAGATCGGCCCAGTCTTTCTGAATATCGATTCAAAATCTCCTAATGACTGGCCTTTTTGCTTGAGGCTTCCCCCCCCCCCCCATATAGCAGGAAGACTGGGGCTGCTTTCTGCCTTTGTTAAGTTTTTTTCTCCATTTCTTCTTTAGGGGAAATATTCTCTCCTGCCTCTTTTTAATATCCCCCCAAATATTTCATTCTCTGGGGGGGGGAGTGCTGACTTCCTACAGTAGTCTATATTTTAAATCATTTACTTGCAGTGTATTCTTTCACCCTTTCTGCTACTCAGTACACCAAGCAGCATCTAAATATTTGGCTTCTTGTTCCATCTGAACCATCAGAACTTTTACGTCACAAGCATCTCTTACCAGTATTCTTGCTCACGTTCAAATGTGCAGGAGTCAAGATCTCCGTAGTATCTGGGTGTTTTTTTGTGTGGCTTGCTGCTCAGATGTTAAATTCACTCCACATTTTTTTTAAAAAATTTGATTTAGGAACACCCCAGGCCAGAATACGAAACCAGATTATTACAGAAGAAAGACAGAACTGAAAATACCAAAATCGTGAGTCAGGATGAGGTAGGACACCGAAGTTTCTGTGATCCTTTTAATTCCTGTTTTACGTTTTTATGTGGGCTGCACGCTGTAATAAATATTGTGTAATAGGCGTATCTAACATCTATTCGACTCATTTTTACTAATAGATTTTAATCAAATAAATGTGAACGGGTGAAGAGTTAAAAGAACGATTGTCTTTGGGGCTACTGCAATTCTGAAGTTCTTGTAATTGTGACATTTCTGATTTATACGTCCCTTCCCTTTTAAAAGAAAAAAAAAGCCATTGAATTTTCAATATGATGGATATTCACATACATTTTAAGTTAATTGACTGATCGATACCCAAGGGAAGTGGTTGATCAGTTAAAGCAGAAATTCTATATAAACTGTCATAGGATTGGAGTGAGCGATCTTTGAGAATTTAGTCTGGTTCACAGTTTTGACTGCCCTGATTCATATTTCTCATCCTCAACAATTATTCTCCATACTTTATGATACATTTACAGGCAGCCCTCCACTTACGACTACCACGGAACCCAAAATTTTGGTTGCTAAGCCAGACAAGTGTTAAGTGAGTTTTGCAGCAAGCTCAGTGGTGGGATTCAGCTGGTTCGCACCGGTTTGGTAGAACTGGTAGCTAAATTTTGCTGAGTTTGGAGAACCGATTGAATGCACACTGCTTCCGGAAGTCCATTCCAGGCCTTGAAGGCCTGGAGGAGGCCTCCCAGACCTAGAACGGCCCACCGGAAGTTCGTGGATGCCACTTCCAGAAGTCCATTCTAGGCCTGGGAGGCCTGGAGGAGGCCTCCCAGACCTAGAACGGCCCACCGGAAGTTCGTGGATGCCACTTCCAGAAGTCCATTCTAGGCCTGGGAGGCCTGGAGGAGGCCTCCCAGACCTAGAACGGCCCACCGGAAGTGCGTGGATGCCACTTCCAGAAGTCCATTCTAGGCCTGGGAGGCCTGGAGGAGGCCTCCAAGACCTAGAATGGCCCACCGGAAGTGCGTGGATGCCACTTCCAGAAGCCCATTCTAGGCCTCAGAGGCCCGGGCCTGCATCCAATAAGACAACCAGTTGTTCAGGTATTTGATTCCCACCACTGAGCAGGATGGACAATGATGGGTGGATCTCATTGTGCCCTTCTAGGACACAATGATCTACTTGAGTTACCGGTAGGTTTTGAGTAGGGGACACGCTGGCTCAGTGGTTAAAGACACTGAGCTTGTTAGCTGGAAAGCTGACAGCCCGTGTTCAAGACCTGAGTGCTGCACGATGGGGTGAGCTCTCGTTCCTTGCTCCAGCTCCTGCCCAACCGGCAGTTCAAAAGCGCGCAAATGCGAGTAGATAAATAGGTACCACTTCGGTGGGAAGGTAACGGCGTACTGTGCTTCTCGGTATATAGTGATGCTGGCCACATGACCACGGAAGCGTCTTCAGATAATGCTGGTTCCCTGGGCTAAGAAGTGGAGATGAGCACTTCCCACCAGACTCGATTGGACAGGGGAAACCTTTACCTTTATCTAGATCCTGAGTGCTGTTACTGACTATAACGCCCTTCATGGATAGGGCCTTATTATCTAAGGGACAATCTGTCTTTTGCAATTTCAGCCCACCCTATACTATTGGGTGGTCAAGAGTGAAAATTTGGCAGCTACGTGCCTCTCTGTTTTCATCTTGCCATTAGAATAAATGGGGGGGAGGTGTTGTTTTTCAATGGGTTAGTTAGAGAAACGAAACCTCTCCAGTTCTACGGAAGCTTGCCGAAAGTCGGCCGTAGGGAAAGCTTTCAAGGACGTTCTACCAGGTGTGAAGACGATAGCAGATGGCTCCCGTCACAAAGAGAACGCGTTTACATGAACTACGTGGACATCTGGGGATTTCGGCTGAGAAAGTCATGGTTATATGCTAGGGTCTGATGCCTTGGGATTTTAGAGTTTTAGAGTTAGTTTTGCCTCGCCTTTACCGGGCCGTGGATTCAATAAGCGGTAAGCTTTTCGGGAAATAAAAAAAATAACGGACTTTTATTCGGACACTTGAGGTGGATGTTGACACGGGCAGAGTTGACCTACATCAAATCCCTTCCATTCTAGGGACTATGTGCACTCTCTGTTTTAACTCCTGCCCTCTGGGTCAACTTACCCCCCAACATCCCTATGGCCTCCATTCTGATCACATTTAAAAGACCCATGAAAATTTGGCTTTTCCCCCAGGCCTCAAGTCACACTTGGGTGAATATCTTAGCCCTGGGGAACTAAAAAGCCTGGGAAAAAGAATCAGCACACCCAGGCCTTGACCCCATTCTCAGTGAAGGTTTGGGACAGGATACTGTTAATAGACCTTACATAATTGACTAGCATTTCTGGAATTCCTGCGGTGTCTATTTCTTGACTGGGCCTTTTTGGAAAGCTGATGCCACTACCCTTCTTTCAAGCAAATTTTAAGATCCAAAAGGGGGGGGGGTAAAACTATATTTCAAAGGCACCAAAAGACAAGAGGAGAAACAATGGATGACAACTAACCAAGGAGAGAAGCAACCTGGAACTAAGGAGAAATGTCCTAATGGTGAGAGCAATCAATCAGTGGAAGAGCTTGCCTTCAGAAGTTGTGGGTGCTCCATCACTGGAGGTTTTTAAAAAGAGACTGGACAACCATTTGTCTGAAATGGTTTAGGGTCTCCTGCTTGAGTAGGGGGTTGGACTAGAAGACCTCCAAGGTCCCTTCCATGTCTATTATCCTATGTTCTAACTCAGCTGGAACAGAACAGCAGCCATTCCATCCTAAGCAAAAAAAAATACGAGAAATTTGGAGACAGCCGTGCATCTGATCAGCATCAGTAGAAGCTTCAAGTCCCACCACAACTAACAAACTATCTGGGTTCAGGAAACGCTCACCGTGCCCCCCCCCCAGTCTTTCGTGAAGTTCACTTGGTAAAATGTCACGGTTTGGAAGGTATGAATTAGACTAGCGGAAGAAGTTTGACAGATGCCAAACCAGTTTCAGAGAAAATCAAGGAGGGTGTACCAAATCTGTGGCATAATGAGCTACAAATATAACGCAGCGGAGGAACAGAGGGCCATACTAAGGAAAAACTGGGATTGATTCCCCAGGAAGGAGTTTTCACCGTAAAAGGCAAGGAAAGTACAGCTGATCAAAAACTTACAGAGCGTTACATGCTAGTGCTCAGGCTGCCACGGTGCATTAAAAATATACAGATTGCAATAGGGCTGTGATGCATCTTTGGCAGATGTTCTAAGGAAGTCGATTAGCCTACTTTCTCCAGCAGATTTTTCTCTTTTGGAGAAACATATTTCTTTATTTAACCTAGTGACATAGCTGCCCATCAACCCAAGAAACATCCAACTCAGATGTCTGTTGGTATCTATCTGTCTGTCTGTCTGTCTGTCTGTCTGTCTGTCTGTCTGTCT